AGGTGCAGAAGAGAATCCATTAGCATTGTCTGGACTGAAAGCTCTTCTCAGTAAGTGTGCTGGTATCGGGTCACAGATATCCAGAAGGCGTCACAACAGACCACGCTAATATTTACATGATTAAAGAAAACAACAGAACACTTCTTCTGCTCCAGTGCCGTCTTTGACATCGCGTGGTTTCAGGCAAGAAGAATGAAAAGAAGAAAGCAGGTCCTTTTTGTACAGGCCTATGCTGCAGGTGATTCAATTTGCTGGGAGCGAAACGCAACATCGGCTCAGCCTGCAGGCGCTGTTACAGGAAGCACTGATAACATCTGCTGCCTATAGAATAATCAGTGCATATAGTTGATGAATGGCACAGCCTTTCAGTAACCAAACAACAGCGGTACTTGCTGTTATGGTGACACTAATGGCAGGGATGTTGAAACAAGAAAAGGATGTTTGCTTATATAAGAAGCAAAGAGAGTTTTTATGGGCATACTAGCAAAGCACTGTTTATTTCAGTACTGGAGAACAACTGTACACTGTACACCCCCACCCACTGAGTTTCATTGAATGAACAAAAAAATAAACATTGTGGTATTTTTCAGTCAAACAGATCTGGAACAAGGGTGAGTAAATGATGAAAGAACTTTTGTTTTTGGTGACCTATATCTACAAATGAACAGTTCATCCAAAAATATAAATGTATTCATTCTCGGGCCATCGAAGGTGTAGATGAGTTTGTCTCAACAACAATCCTCAAGTAATCTACAGACTCCAGTTCATCAATTAACATCTCATAAAGAGAAAAAAGCTGCATGTTTGTAAGTGGTTTGTAAATTGTTTTGCCAGCTGTTTGGACTAACATTCTGACGGCACCCATTCACTGCAGAGGATCCATTGGTGAGCAAGTGATGTGATGCTAAATTTCTCTAAATCTTTTCCGATGAACAAACTTAGAAGAAGAAACAAACTTATCTGTATCTTGGATAGTCTGAGGGTGAGTGAAATTTCAGCAAATTTCATAATAAATAATATCATTAGATTGGCGTTGGCTGGTCACAGTCTTAAATTAATATTTATTTGTATGAGTTTCAAATTTCCAAAACATGGACTCCTAAAATCAATGTTCCATGTGACTACAGAACTGTTATACAAACCAAACAGTGAGAACATTTTGCACCCCTCTTTTTTTTTTTTTTTTTTTTCTCTTTCCTCGGCAGACAATATTTTCCCAAAATATCTTCTAAAGCGTGTAAATATTGTGTTGGCATGTATCGCCACAGGAAGATAAGAGTGTAAATGGAGTGAAAAACCAAAACATGTATGGCATAGCGGTATTTTATAGGATCTTTCTGTGAGAATGCTCAGTGGGAACTCGTCGCTGCCATCCTCCAGACAAGGCAAATTATTGCACTGAACTCTAGTTAATTCGTGCAGATCCGGCGTGAAATTATGGTCTGAGAGTCAGCCGTGAGAGAAACGTGTTTACTGTGATTTCAGCACAAGGAATAGAAACCAGAGAGTGCAAACTGGAGAGAAGAACCAAATGACAAAAGAATGAAAAATAGTGAGGATGGCCTTAAAACATTTCTGCAGGACATTAATCTGAAATGCTAGGTTGCTCTTTTCTGCGTTGTCTTGCGGAACAATTAAAAACATTAGTTACACTCTTCTGTGCACATCCAAATGGCTGTCCTTTTATTATGATTTTAATGGTGGAAATTATTGAAGAGGCAAAACCATTAGTCAATAACATCTTACATTTTGATCTTGACTTATAAGACAACTAATGACTGAATTTACACAACCTTTTTTTGTTTTGTTTTTTAAAGAAGATTCTAATGCTCACCGAAGTTGCATTTATTTGGTAAAAAAAAAGACAGTAAAAATACTAATATTCTGAAATAGTAATAGTTTTCTATGCTAATATATTTAAAATTAATTTTTAGTCCAGGCAGGCTGATGTCATTAGCGCCACAGTAGCAGAGTCAGCTGAGCTGGCATTAGAGAACAACACTACTGCCAGACAACAATCGATTGAGCTCATTTGGGAAAGTCTCCTTTGCGTATGAGAGAAAGGAAAGGTCATTGTGAGAGCTGGGATGCTTTTAAATGACGATTCATCACTCTTTCTATTTGCATAGAAGAGAATCCAAGGCCAAATTACCATCCGGTTTTGCTGACCTTGCCACTTTCACATGCCTTCGCATGTCATAGGGGAGGACGCCAATGACACTGGAGACGTCCCATACAAACACAAGTTTGTACAAACACCTGAAAACTGGGTTTCAGTTGGGTTTCTTATGTATTATAGTAGCAAGTCTTAGTCCTGATCAGCGATACTGACCTTTGATTATCTCTTTGACCTCTAGATGTGTCTGATTGCATAACATTGTGTCCAAACCAAGCATAAGAAGAAGAGACTACATTTTGTGTGCAACATAAAATAAAATTAAATAAATAAAATATAAAAAAATAAGATGATACCATAATAAACCATTTTATAAAAATAAATAAAATATATAAAAAAAAAATAAGATGATAAAATAAGTTAATATATAAATTCTATAAAAATAAATAAATAAAATAAAAATAACTTTTTGTGTTCGTGTATCACTTTATGCATACAAATACACATAGCCAGAAGTCAGAGAATTATTATATACAGATATTTTGAGATTGAACCATGTTTATATGCATATCATTTTACAATTAAGGTCCACATTCTGAATACTTAACGCTGTTATATTCTGCATGCTATTTGTTCATTTTCTTTTATTATTTAGAATTCATTTTTAGCAATTATGTTCAGTAATTTAGTCAAATCATTAATTCACAGCATTCCAGAGTGAAATGAAATGGAACATTTTTATAGGAGGTTTTTATTTTTCATTTGGATATCGATTTATTTGAGTTTCCATTCATGTTCATGTGTTTTGATAGTTTGATTTTTCACAACTTTCTGTGTCTCAAAGCACTTGTTAATAATTTGTCAAACCCTCTGTCTCAAAGCGCTTGTAATTAATTTGTTTGACAACAAATCGATTACGGTTTGCATACAGGGATAATTTGTCTAAAATGAAAATTCTGCCATGATTTACTCACTCTTATGTCATTCCAAATCTGTATGACTTCCTTATGTGGAACACAAAAGAAGATATTTTGAAGAATGCTGGGGTCCAAACAATATTGGATCCCTTTGACTTTCATGGATAGAAAAACAAATTCCTTCTTTTATGTTCCACAGAAGAAAAAGAAAGTCATTTTATTTTTGAGTGAATCCCTTTAACCTGAACATGCATGTGCATAGTGATTATTAGAAAGAGATCAACTGTAACTGGATTTGAGCAATAATAAGGTAAACATGAGAAGAGATGGAGTAGATGGGAAGCCTCAGAACAGCACAGTGACCAGCACACCATCTGTACCCCATCCTGTCCCTCGCTCTAATCAGCCAGTTTTATCTTTTTAATTAAAACTCCATTCACCACAGCTCCAGAGTTTACATTATATTCTGAGGATAGTTCATTAAAAAAAGTCTGAATTGGATGACCTGAGCACATCTGATGGCAGATTCAATCGTCTTTAAAAGTGAATTCCTGCTTTTCAACACCGAATAATTATTCCTTTGAATCTTTGCCTCACAAAATAAAGACGGAGCAATTTATGTGTCATCACATTCCTGCTGTTCTAATCACAAGTACTATTATAAGAATTATAACCTAATAAAACTAATATTTCATCATACTGGTTACTTCCACTGCTAGGGAAAGATTTTCTTGGTTTTTGATGAGATGGGGAAATATAGCTTCAAATAAATAAAAAAAAGTGCCAGCTCAATGCTCTACTTAAAGGGATAGTTCACCTAAAAAAGAAAATTCTGTTCTCATTTATTCATCCTCATGTCGTTCCAAACCTACAGTATATAACTTTGTCCATATAATAAAAATCCACTGTATTTGTCTATATAAGTCAATGGGGTCCAAAACAACACTGGACTTCCATTGTATGGACAAAACAAACAAAGACATTTTTCTAAATATCATCTTTTGTGTTCTGTTGAAGAAAGATAGACATACATATTTGGAATGACATGAGGGAGAATTATCAATTTAAGTAAACTGCAAATAAAATCTTATTTTCTTTACATTTTATTCTCGACAGGAATCCATTGGTATGATTTGACTTTGCCTGGGTTATTTTATCATTTATATTTGTCTTAGTATTACTATTGCATATATGAAGGGTGTGAAAGAGACCAAAATACATCAAAAGCTAAACTCAGAAGTTTTAGTAAAAATAAAAAAAATAATAAAATCAATATAAAAAAATACGTAAATAAACAACAACAACAACAAACAAATATATAAGTAACATAGCATATTTAGAAATAAAATAATATTTTATTATTTTAAAACACAAAATATGAATCCTTATTTATGAATACTGAAATATTTTTATTGAAATGTATTCAATTGTTATTAATGATATTATGTTATCAGTTACATCTATTAAATGCAGTTTATTCATTTACAATTCAATTCTAACATTTTGTTCAGTTCTGTGTGACTTCTGCTGCCAACTTTTTAAAAAATAGATTACAGAATGTTTACACATGACTACACTTTAAAACCTTAAAATTAGTAACATGATAGTTTATCATGTAATATTTATTTTGGTACACAAAAGGTGTTTTCTATGTATAGGCCTACGCTGTTATCAATTGTTTATAGGTTTCAGCATCTATCCGAACATAAAAAAAACGTGTGTTTTATACAAGTAAATGTTACGCACTAATACATACGTATAAGCAACGAAAACCGGCTGGCTAAACCAAATCCACGTTTCTGTCAACGTAAAGTTCATGGGTTTCCAGTGTAGACAGTTCTGATTATAATGGAAGCGATCTGGTTCTGATGCATCGCATGTTAGAAAACGATACACATTTACACAAAAAAGAATCCCTGCAAGACTGCTAGTAAATCAGTTTTACGCATACATGAAAACACACTGACCTGTACTCCAGCGAGAACCGCGTGATCTCTGTGTCGTTGTGGATCCATTTAAACTCCAAAGGCCAGCTCCCCTCGGCCATACAGGTCAGAACCAACCGGTTCCTCTCCAGGTGCAACTGACTCGGTACAGGCTCTGTTTTAAAGTATGGAGGAACGTCATCTGCAGGAAGATACAAAGAAAGAGAGAGAATGTAAGAAAGTGGGAATTGCTTCTGAGGGAAAACACTGTTTGACCTGCAGCAGGTAAACATGACCAGCTAATGCTTACAGACACTTGCTGTATCGCGCCCTCAGCCAGCTGCTGGTATTTGCACATAGAATTTTAAACATGGCCTGTTGTCTTGTGTGAAGTTTAATAAAGCAAAAGCACTCCAGACTGAATATGAATATACATAAACTCAAAAAAAAAATGTATTGCTAGAAAGTAGAATAAAACACAATAAATGGATGAATAATACATATATTTTGCATATTCAAAATAAAGATTTAAAATTTAAATTTAAACACAAAAATATGTATTTATTTAATACAGTTTAAGTGAAACATTTTGGGTGGTGCTTTCTTCAGATTTTAACAGAACCACTCATATTAATTCTGTGTAAGCTCATTTCATAACACACAGCACAGTCACGTCCGGTCTTTTAAAGTGGGTCCATGCACTCAATCACATCTAAGAGTATTTGTTTCTCTTTTTTACATAAGCACATAACATTTTTTTGTTATGTGCTGTTATGTCCATTTGCGAAGTCTGTGATGTGCTGCCCATGCCCTACTGCAATTGCCCCTTGTGGGATTAATAAAGTAGTAAACTAAACTAAACTAAAATCTAATGGAAAAATGCTGGGAGCAGATGGCGCTGATATCCCATTCCTGTAGGAGCACGGATATCAGGAGAGCTACTCCACTCAACTGTTTTAAATATTGATAATAGTAATTAAAAAAGGTTTCTTGAGCAGCATTATTATTATAATGATTTCTGAAGGATGTGACACTGAAGACTGGAGTAATGATGCTGAAAATTCAGCTTTGATCACAGCAATCATTTTAAAATATATTAAAATAGAAAGCAGTTATTTTAAATAGTAAAAATATTTCACAACATTACTGCTTTTGCTGTACTTTGAATCAAATAAATGCAGGCTTGGTGATATGTTTTATATATATAAATGTTTTATATATATAAAACATTTCTGTCCCCCTCACTTCTGAAATGATGGCTACGCCCCTGGATGGATGGATGGATGTGAAACTGGTCATACTAGACCCAAGCACACACAGATTAGCCAAAAAAGTGTGCATACTTTGAAAATCCATTGCAAATATTCTCGCATCTGTGCATTTTGAGACAGGCCCACTATTTCACACGTACTATGATTCAGGACGCATTAATCCTAATCGTGCATACTATTAAGGTTGGATAGCATGAAAATTAGGATTCAACCACTGTAAAGTCTTAAATATAAGAGGGTTGACGATGCAGAAGCCAGTTAGAGGAAGAAACAGGCTAGACGAGGAGGAGGAGGGGCATTAATGTAATGCACGGTTTGGGATATTCACAAAGTTTTATGAAAATGAGGTGGAAGGATTCGCGCACGAGAGATTTGATTAAACGGGTGAGGCTAATTGTTCCCAAGCGTTTCAAACTCCACACATTTCTGTCCCCCTCACTTCTGAAATGATGGCTATGCCCCTGGATGGATGGCTGGATGGATGCATGGATGTGAAACAGGTCATACTAGACCCAAGCACACACAGATTAGCCAAAAAAGTGTGCATACTTTGAAAATCCATTGCAAATATTCTCGCATCTGTGCATTTTGAGACAGGCCCACTATTTCACACGTACTATGATTCAGGACGCATTAATCCTAATCGTGCATACTATTAAGGTTGGATAGCATGAAAATTAGGATTCAACCACTGTAAAGTCTTAAATATAAGAGGGTTGACGATGCAGAAGCCAGTTAGAGGAAGAAACAGGCTAGACGAGGAGGAGGAGGGGCATTAATGTAATGCACGGTTTGGGATATTCACAAAGTTTTATGAAAATGAGGTGGAAGGATTCGCGCACGAGAGATTTGATTAAACGGGTGAGGCTAATTGTTCCCAAGCGTTTCAAACTCCACTTTTATCTCAGATAGAGAGATAAAGATGCAGACAGCGAGAAAGAGAGAGAAAGAGAGACCGAGAACGAGTCATACAGTTAAAACAGGCAGAAGACATTGATCATCGATGAGTATCAGGGCTCGTGTTTCTCCCTCTCATTAGAGAACAAATGATCTGGTCGACTAAAAGCCTTAATGATCCGTCAATGGAGCTAACAAACACCCTGATGGGCCTCCTAGGGGCCGAGCGGAGCGGAGATACAACAGTAAGAAACTTTATTACTGATGCAGTAAATGGCAGAAAAGAGGGGATAATGCCCTACTGTAACCTTACATGAGCGGACCAGTAACAAGTGCTCTGGGACCAAATAGTGTAAATTGTATAGGGGCTTATGGGATGCATATCTTAATTGACAGATATGAAAGAGACAGTGGGTGGAAAGAGACCTTTGAAAAAAAGGTAGTTAGATTACCACTGCAAGTCTTCAGAGAAAAACGACCTTAATGGGACCAGTAACAAGTGCTCTGGGACCAAATAGTGTAAATTGTATAGGGGCTTATGGGATGCATATCTTAATTGACAGATATGAAAGAGACAGTGGGTGGAAAGAGACCTTTGAAAAAAAGGTAGTTAGATTACCACTGCAAGTCTTCAGAGAAAAACGACCTTAATGGGACCAGTAACAAGTGCTCTGGGACCAAATAGTGTAAATTGTATAGGGGCTTATGGGATGCATATCTTAATTGACAGATATGAAAGAGACAGTGGGTGGAAAGAGACCTTTGAAAAAAAGGTAGTTAGATTACCACTGCAAGTCTTCAGAGAAAAACGACCTTAATGGGACCAGTAACAAGTGCTCTGGGACCAAATAGTGTAAATTGTATAGGGGCTTATGGGATGCATATCTTAATTGACAGATATGAAAGAGACAGTGGGTGGAAAGAGACCTTTGAAAAAAAGGTAGTTAGATTACCACTGCAAGTCTTCAGAGAAAAACGACCTTAATGGGACCAGTAACAAGTGCTCTGGGACCAAATAGTGTAAATTGTATAGGGGCTTATGGGATGCATATCTTAATTGACAGATATGAAAGAGACAGTGGGTGGAAAGAGACCTTTGAAAAAAAGGTAGTTAGATTACCACTGCAAGTCTTCAGAGAAAAACTACCTTAATGGGCACTGGCGTTAGATGTAGACGGTGAAAAGCTGTAAATTCTAGAGATTGTTTTAAAAAAGCCTGTCGGAGGGGTTCGAGACAGAAGGTTGTACACTCTTCAGAAGACACACTGCAATTATGGGCTCTTTGCTTCTCCTGTGCTTGTTATCGTGAGTGTGCAGAAGAACGAAAGGGGTCAGACGGGGTGTCCCGGGGAGCCGCGGTAGTTGTTTTGGCGACAGGTTGTCGAGGAGCCAAAAGGGGTATGGTGGCTGGTGTCACAAAAGGCCCGGCACAAGCGCTACACTGAGAATTACACTTCTTAACTCATTAACGAGTATCTCACACAAACATATGCCCAGGGGTTAACATCCATAATTAAACACAAGCTATGTGGTTTCTATTAAAATGTATGGGCACCTTTGCTCCTCTCTCTCGCTTTCTCTCATAATGAGCGATTATGTGTCGGACTCATTAAAGAGAACCGAGGTGTGATGTGCTTACAAACACACAGACACAAAGCAAATATACAAATGTGCAAATTCTTATGCAATAAAGCAGGTCGATTTAGTGTAGGCTATTTAGCTATTCATGAGACTAAGGATGATTCTTGGTCCAAACCCAAGTTCAGTGGTTTCTTTGCACATTGTACTTTTGGATCTGAACTGTGAGTTCTTATGGCAGCTGTTTACTACTGTAGCAAGGTAACAGTACAAGTATTTGTACTATTTTGAGATAAATATCATCAGCTGATAACCATATACACTTCTGTTTTATTTTTGCATGTACATTGCAAATCTATTTTTTTTTTTTTTATAAATATTGAATCAATTAAATGTATTGTCTAAAAATGTAAAAGATAAAACATTATTTAAAATGTAAAAATACAGAAATAAATAAAAGAATGGTGAAGCAATTTTGTGTGCTTCTCGTTTGCTGTTAAATGTATTATTTACACTACTTTTTTAGTGTTTTTTGTTTGGGTCAGAAAATAAATATATTTTTAAGGAAATTAATACTTTCATGTGCATATCTTAATTGACAGATATGAAAGAGACAGTGGGTGGAAAGAGACCTTTGAAAAAAAGGTAGTTAGATTACCACTGCAAGTCTTCAGAGAAAAACTACCTTAATGGGCACTGGCGTTAGATGTAGACGGTGAAAAGCTGTAAATTCTAGAGATTGTTTTAAAAAAGCCTGTCGGAGGGGTTCGAGACAGAAGGTTGTACACTCTTCAGAAGACACACTGCAATTATGGGCTCTTTGCTTCTCCTGTGCTTGTTATCGTGAGTGTGCAGAAGAACGAAAGGGGTCAGACGGGGTGTCCCGGGGAGCCGCGGTAGTTGTTTTGGCGACAGGTTTTCGAGGAGCCAAAAGGGGTATGGTGGCTGGTGTCACAAAAGGCCCGGCACAAGCGCTACACTGAGAATTACACTTCTTAACTCATTAACGAGTATCTCACACACACATATGCCCAGGGGTTAACATCCATAATTAAACACAAGCTATGTGGTTTCTATTAAAAGTATGGGCACCTTTGCTCCTCTCTCTCGCTTTCTCTCATAATGAGCGATTATGTGTCGGACTCATTAAAGAGAACCGAGGTGTGATGTGCTTACAAACACACAGACACAAAGCAAATATACAAATGTGCAAATTCTTATGCAATAAAGCAGGTCGATTTAGTGTAGGCTATTTAGCTATTCATGAGACTAAGGATGATTCTTGGTCCAAACCCAAGTTCAGTGGTTTCTTTGCACATTGTACTTTTGGATCTGAACTGTGAGTTCTTATGGCAGCTGTTTACTACTGTAGCAAGGTAACAGTACAAGTATTTGTACTATTTTGAGATAAATATCATCAGCTGATAACCATATACACTTCTGTTTTATTTTTGCA